AACTTGTAATGGTTCTTTATGATTAAATAAATAAACGACACCAACCTGATTGCAGGATTAAAAAAAAAAAAAAAAAGTAAAGTATTACAAAAATATAGTTAAAAACAATTAAAACAATAGTTAGTATCATTACTATTATATAATAAGTATAATTATAGTAATTAATAATATAATTTTAATAAAATATAATAAAAATAAATTAAATTCAATTTTTCATATGATTATATATATAAATAAAAAAACATTAAAAGTTAAAAATTATTTTTTATATAATTTTATTAATAAAATAATTTAAATCTTAATAAATTTAAATAAAAATACTATATTTATTGTATATAATTTAAAATTATATATATAATGAAACTTTTAAAATTAATTTATTTATAGAATTTAAAAATAAAAAAATATATTATATTGATTTTAATAAAGATAATTTTTTAATTTAAAAAAGAAAAAATGATTTTTTATTTATATATTTAATATTAATTTTTTATTCAAATTTATTTTAAAAAAATAACATGATAAACTATTTTTTTTTTGTCTTATTGAAATTTTTTTATTTAAATTATATTTATTATTTTTGATTATTTTTTTTAATTAAAAATTATATTTTGTTTATTTTTTTAATATTTAACATAATCCATTAAATTATAATTTTAATTAAAAAATAATAAAAATAACAAGTTGTAATTATTTTATTATCATAAAAAAAAATTCTTAAAATTATGTTTTTTTTAGATATTTATTAAAAAAAAAGTCAGTTCAAAAAATTAGTCTAATATAATATTATATAAATTAAATTGATTTAAATCAGATTAATTTGAATTAATGCCCTAGCTTTTGAACCTTCAAACCGATACATTAGGTAAATCGAATTTTAAATTTATTCGATAGTCAAAATAAATTAAAAATCCAAAAGTTGATTCGATAATCGGATTGAAAATACTTGAGAACCGATTTGGCAATTGAACCAGAATCTATGATTTGTTAAAATCAAAATTGGGATTCCCATTTTAATATAATCATATCAGTTAAGGGACATTTCCCTCCCGTTGTTGTTACACACAATATAAATTGTATTATAAAAATAACATTTTGAGTCTTGATTAAGGGAAATGTCCCGTGACTAATATAATCATCTTTATTTTTAAAAATTGTTTTTTATTTTATCTTCTTATACTGTGCATTATTAATATAAGTGGATTTTTTGTGATTTTAATTTTCAGCAAATAGTATCTCAACTTTTTTTACTAATAATTCCTTTTATATACAAAACTTTCGCCCTGGAATGTAAGAGATCCGGGTACTGCTGTATATTGCGGAAAATCAGTATGTGGTTTTTTTTTTAATTTTTATAAAACAATCAATAAGATATATTGTAACTTATAAATAAATTAGAGTAATAGTAGTATTAAAAATACTTTGAATTCACATAATAATAATAATAATAAAAATAAAAATTAATATAAGAAAATACATATACACGCACAGTGCTTCGTTATCTAGATTTTCGCAGAGAAAACAGAATTTCAGATTTATTAGTCACAGCTTTATATTTAGGTTGCATATATTCATTATGACTGTGTGCAGTATGTACAGGAGTTTGATCATCAATCGCGGTGGACCGTTCATTGATTATTTATGGGTCATTATAATTTATTTGCGAATTCATTTTCAACAAAAATGATTTGACATGGAATAATCACACGTGCACTTTGGATTTTCGAAATTTTAAATATGACACGCATCGCATACGCTCGAGTTTTGGCACCGAAGGACTTCGCCTATTCGTCATATCTCGCGTCTCGCATACTCCTTGTTTTCCTAAAATGGGAATTCACACACCCCACTTTTATGCTGGTATCACACAAGATTCATTCAAATGAAGTCGAAACCAGGAATCACCCACCAAATCTCATTCCGTTATCAAGTGCGTATTCGTCGAATGTTCTAAAAACAATAATTGACATCGGCCTGTCGATGTGCGTTTGGATCTCGAGATCCCTTTAAAAAAAGGTTTCGATACTATCGTTACCCTGTTTCAGAAACGAGGCAATGCATTTCCAAATTTGGACTCTCATCATCCCTTTCACGAGAAATCTTATCGTCATCATCTTCAGTTCCAAAGTAAAAATAAGGCATGTGCATCCTGTGCATAAAAGACGATCGGGAATAGCGTGGAATGTTGGTTTGATATTATACAATAAAGATTTGGACAAAATCAAACCATCTCACTTAATATATTTCACCCGGCTGAGCAGATTCTTATTTCACGTGTGAGGATATGGAATAGATCGTCTTTATACGCCGACGGAATTCGATGGCCGTTTTTGGAGAAATTTTAAAGGTGTGGACGCATTCAAATATAATTGATGCT